GGGCAAAATGGTCATTTGACAGTCAAAAGTCCAAATTTTTGGTCAACATCTTATTTTGAAGCCACAAACATCATTTGATCAATTCTTGATCATGATTCTCAAGGCATGGCTCAAAAAGTCTCAAGATGCAAAAGTTTCCATTTTTGGACAGTTGAAAAAGTCAACTGTAACTTGACCAAGGCATAACTTCCACATGGTTTATCAGAAAAATTCCATCCAAAGCTCATTTTGAAGAGAATTACTTTTCCTACAACTCCTCTTCACACTTCAAGTCCAATAAATGCTCTCACAAAAAGTTATCAATCTCAACATTATAGGTCATTTTCAAAAGTCAACAAAAAGGGACTTTAAGTCAAAGACCATAATTTGAGATTGGTAAATCAAAATGACATAGGACCAAAGGCATTGGTTAGAGGACTTCAAGAACTTTCCAAAATGTCCAAGAACATGATCAAAGCTTAAAAATTGAGCAAGATATGCCTTGTGGAAGTTAGGAAATTTTTGGGAATTTTGAAAAGTCAACTTTACTTCAAATGCCTCAAAATTGCTAATGGGCCACAATTTCTTCCAAGAATCATCACCCAAAGGCTAGGCACGACCCATTGACCCAAAGGGGAGTTATTTTCTTATTTTTTATTTATTAATTGAATTTTTAAATCTATTAATTCATTTAATTCAAATTAAATATGAAAAAATACTAAATGCCACCTTTCAAATCTTTTTATGCAGCATTTCTACTCATCATAACCTCAAGATTTCGTGCATACTCAATATGGAAAGAATCTTCAATGATTGGCATGATCTCCATGAAAAAAGATTGAAAAAAGATTACATGAAAATCAAATCTCAAAAACATCAATGCAAAGGTTTCTTGGCTTGGATTTTTACCCTAATTCATTCCTCATATAAGCACAAACCAAAACCTAATCAAAGGACCCGGGAAGCTGCGCTCAGAATCAAAAACAAACTTTGCATTTTTCACCAAAAACTTCAAATCTGATTCCATAGCTAGAGCACTTTTCCAAGCCAAAGAACGATTCCATTACCTTCCTGACGCATCAAGGAAGCTTTCTGAATCAAAACCACAACCTCTAACCTCAAGAAACGGTAGCACGAAGTCGCCCATTCCATGAACATTTGCATATTCGTATTTTGATTTGCAGGCATTTTTCATACATTCTAATGATTGTTTTACACTAATATGGACTCACTGAAACTGATGGCACCATTGAATTGAACTAATATTGCTTGTATAGAAAATTGCCATGGCTATTTTTTAGGGTTTCAGGAACCATGAATTGGGGCTTTACGCTTGAGGAAAAATTGGCCGTCCTAACCTACACCATTGAAATCAGAAGCTCATGACGAACAAAACCATACCATCGCGCCTTTTTTATGATAGCTCAATTCCTATTCGCTATTTTTTGTGTGTTTCAATTTGTGGGGGTTTAAAACCCCCGCTATCTAATGCGTTTTGTTACAGGAAAACGAAGAAGAAGATTAGGTGTCTTCACGTGATAGGACCATTCATAATTCTGGCGCGTTTTTTTTGTTGTATACCACTAATCATTGATTTACATTATATTGTTTATTTTGCATTACATATTCCAAACGCGCTGAATGGTGTAGTGGTTGAAAGCAATAGTGGTGAACATTGGGACCTGGGTTCGATTCCCAGGTCCCCCTCTTTCTTCAATAATATTTTTTCCAATATACTTCCATGCAGCGTGCTATCCAGGTTCCACAATACACCTTCACATCAGGGCCTGCCACATGTCCCTGAAGATCAATCCAGTGGCTATCACCAGCTATCCACCATACGCATCAGTCAACACATCCATATGCAAGCCAGTAAAGTCAAAAGGGCCTTCTTCAAATGGGCCAACACCTCCAACATTGGGTCAACACCCCTCTTGTTTGCATCTCTTTCCCTTTTTCTTTTTCTTTCTTTTTATTTTATTTGTCTTAATTATTTTCTTTTAATTCATAAAATAAACTTTATAACACAAAAATACAAGAAAAATCAGAAAGTCAAAAAATAAAATATGTTTAATATTTAATTCACCAATTATTTTGTAAATGAATTTTGTTAATTAATTTAGTTTTAATTTTAGGTTAATTTTAATGTTTTTTTAATAAACTAAAAAATATAAAAAAAATAGGTTTTTAATACATTTTGCTCCTATTTTCAATAAAAATTCTTTTCTTATTATACTTATTATTAACCACTAATTACTTTTGTAAATAAATTCATCATTAAATAATTAGTTTAAAATTAGTTCAAGATCAAACATTTTGTATATAAAATAAGAAACTAGAATTAGGGTTCTATTCAATTTTTAATTTTAATCCATTTTTCTTTATTATTATTAAACACCAAAAAAAACCAAAATAATTTCTTTTTCTTTAATCATTAATTCATTTTTAATTTCATATTTAATTCCTTAAAAGGGTCCAACGCCTTCACGTTCTCGATTTTATTTCTTTTCGCACATTTACTTTTATTCCCTTTTTTTAAATTTCATGTACTTGCCCCAAAGCCTTGTAATAGATTAATTAGGGTATTTACTTTCCGCATTTTTATTTATTTCAAATCGGGTCTTGGTTTAATTTGGCGATGTAGACCCGCGCCTTTGTAATAGCGTAGGACTTTTAATTCCGCACCTTTTAACTGCTAATAATTTGCATGAAAGAATGAATGCAAAAAAATAAAAACAAAGCGTAGATCACCAATGCATGACAAGATAAACATAATTGAAAATGACACACAATTCACACACCACCCCTAGGGTACGTCTCACTGTTGCCTTGCCCCTCGAAACGTGGTCGTCGAGTAGAGGATGTTTTAGTAAGTCCTCATGTCCATGAACATGGCATGAGGGTAGCTTCTAAGGTGTCTTCCTATTGCTCTGGTGACCACACTGTCCCGAACCCTCGAATTGACCCGAACACCTCCAACGGTGGTGCTACCTATCTCTCAATGGTGGGATGGCACTACCTTAAGGATATTTACACAGACTAATTCCTTAGGGTAGGTAGATAACTCGTAGATACTTGCTCTAATTCAAAACAAATCAAAAACTTCTTTTCACACCGACACTTTTCAAAAAGCTTTCAAAACAACTTTTCAAACACTCTTGAGGACTGATACAAGAGTCGAACTGAAATTTTAAACGAAACTTTTTCAAACTCACTCACAATTGAAAAGCAAACACTTTTGAAAACACAAATGAGCAAGTATCTAAGAGCCCATGGATAACCATGGATAGAAAGGGTGCTAACACCTTCCCTTTCTATAAATCTACCTCCCGAACCGAGAAACAATCTCAATAAGGAATTTTTCTGTGCTTTTGTCCTTTCCATTTGGAGAAAATAAAAGACGGTGGCGACTCTTGCTTCCGTGACATTTCGCGAACCAGCGTTAAACAGTCAGTTCCAGATCCACCGATCACACCCATCTTTATTTTCTTGTTTTATTCATTTCATTTATTTCTTTTAATCCTTTTTTTATTTATCAATAAACAAATATAAAAATCACATAAAAATAGATTTAGGATTTTTTCTTAATTAAATTTTAATTTTGGTAAATTAATTAACTAAACATTTTAACTTTATTTTTAAAAATTAAAATTAATAGAACTTAGGTTTAATTTAATTTTAATTCATTTTCCTTTTCGTAACAAAAATACCAAAAACATAGAATTAATTTCTTTTATTTAAATTTCACGTTTCTTTAATAATTATCTTTTTTAAATATAGATCTAGATCAATTATTTTTTAACTTAAACCATTTTTATAAATTAAAACAAAAAAACAACAAAAAGATTTTTTTATATCTTAGGATTTTTAGACGTCTTTTCAAATTTGCGCGTTATTATTCTTTCGCACTTCATTTTATTATTGTAACTGTATATTGGGATGTAATAGATTATTAGTAGGACATTTACCGCTTTTATTTCTTTTTCCCCCCAGTTTTGGATATGTACATAATCCCCCTCCCCGAAGCCTTGTAATAGCTAGGTTTTATATTTCTGCACTTTTAAATTACTGCAATTATTAACTGCTAGATGTATGACTAATAGGATTGTATGGCAAGAATAATCAAACATTAGCAAACTTAACACAAGACTAAAATAACTGAACATACCACACCTTGCACATATGCACCCTTAGGGTATACCTCACTTGGTTGCCTCGGAAAATAATGGTCATATCCCTCGAACGTAGGGATACCCTTAGCAAAGGCCCTCGATTAAAATCATCATAAAGATCATGGTCCCTCGATGTCCCTCGAAGTTGCCTATGGTATATGATCTTGTCCCTCGATGTTGCCTACGAATATATAATGATAGTCCCTTCGAAATGCTAAGGTATCCCTACATGTTGCCTTCAATGACCATTACGTCCCTTTCGAATTGACCCTTACAACTCCAACGACGGCGCTACCTATTTCTCAATAGTAGGATAGCGTTGTCTAAAGGAACAAGAATAGAAACGATCTTTTTTCGAGTAGGTAGATGCTAGTAGGTACTTGCTCAAATCAAACTTTTTCACACAAACACTTTCAAAACAATTTTCAAAAACAACTTCGTAACACTCTTGAGGATAGAAACAAGGGTTAAAACGAAGTAAAACAAAACTTTTCAAAACAAGCACACACAAGCAATTTCAAAATGAGCAAGTACCTAAGAGCCCATGGAAAACCATGGATAGAAAGGGTGCTAAAACCTTCCCTTTCTATAATCTACCCCCCGTACTCAGAAACATCTCGAAAAAGGTTTTTTCTGTTCTTTTTCCTTTTCCTTGTTGGATAAAATAAAAGTCAGTGGAGACTCTTGCTTACCGCGACATTTTGCGAACAAAAAACGCAAAACGCAAACCAGTATTAAATAGTCGGTTCTGCCACCATATCACACCGGGCATCACCCCCCAGTGCTCTTCTCCGACCATCCCTTGACGCTTACTCACATTCCATTCACAACACACTTTATCAACGCCTTATGAAAGTAGATTATAAGGTTGCTCATCTCCGTGTTACATCACCGCCACCGGTTACTGGCTCTATTTCACGTTCGCTCAAGTTATTTGTTCCCATATTTAATGGTTCGAATGCTTCTGATTGGCCTTTTCAAATTGGAGAATTTTTCAATTTCCACGACACACCTGAAGATTCGCGTCTCCAAATCGTTTCCTTTCATTTGGAAGGTCGTGCAACTACTTGGTTTTAGTGGGCTACACACAACAACTTGTTCATGTTGTGGAAAGTGTTTCTCACTGTAATTCGCCATCGCTTCAGTTTAAAGGCGTACGAAGATGTTGAAGGTGTGCTTTCCAAACTATCACAAACAACTTTAGTTGTTTACTTTCAAGCTCAATTTGAGGATCTCATGAACAAGGTTAACAGTATCTCAAAACCACTTTTAATTAGTTTTTTATCACGGACTTGAAAAAAAATCTTTATCGTGAGCTGCAATTTCACCATCCCCCAACGTTGATGGAAGCCTTTGTTATGGCTCGTGCATATGAGGTGCTTTTGGATGACAATCCTTCGTACTCCAAAAGTTGGGCCCGTAACTCCATTAACCCACCCATCCCAACCATCCCGGCCTAACAACCTTCCACGCAACTCCCACAGTCTCAAACCACACCTCCGCACACAAAACAAACTTCATTACCTCCTCTGCTTCCCACCCCTCAATCCACCTTACCCATATGTCACCTTCCACCACCAGAGATTAATGACCGCCTTTCTAAAGGCCTTTGTTTCAAGTGTGACGAAAAATAGAATCTATCTCATCGTTGTCGTAGCAATGCTCTCTTGCTACTCGGTGTTGACGATGATGAACATGATCTTCATATTGAAGAAGCTTCTCCTGAGGATGTTTCTGGGGAAATTTCTAGCCTTAATGCCCTTTATAGTCGACTCTAAATCCGTTCTCCACGTATTTCAGGTACATACGGAAACCACCAATTCCATACTCTGGTCGACGTCGGTAACACACGTAATTTTATTTATCCAACTTTAGTGTACCGGTTGGGCCTCCCAATGACTCCTTACTCTTGTTTTCGGGTGGCAACAGGTTGTGGATCCTCTTTATCATGTCAATATTGTTTCCCTAATGTACCTTTACTCCTGCAAGGTATTACGTTTCCGGTTGATCTATTTCTTCTTGTAATTTAAGGACCTGATGTGGTGTTAGGCTTTCCATGGCTACAATTATTGGGGAAAGTTACTCATGATTACTCTGCTTTGACAATGGAATTTCTTTGTGAAGGTAAAAAAACCACTCTTCATGGTGAATCCTCAATGCACTCTCACTCGGTGTTTTTACTCCAATTCTAGTTCCTGGTTCATATCGACACAATTGCCGGTATTTTCACTATTAAGCCGTGCCCTGAAACTTTAACTAATACTCAAATAAACCAACCACAATTTCCCAAATCCTTCCATGAACCCATGTTAACCATACTACAACATTTTCAACATCTTTTTATTGCTCCGTATAGTTTACCACCTTACCATTCCATTGACCACCGCCTTCATTTGATGGATGGAACCAACCCAATCAATGTTAGGCCATACTGTTATCCGAAATTTTAAAAATTAGAAATGGAGAAATTAATTTGGGAGATGATTGAGTAAGGCATAATTATCCCCAACCATAGCCTTTTCTCCTCTTCAGTATTTTTGGTTCCCAAAAAAGATGGATCATGGCGCTTTTGCGTTGATTATCGCGCCTTGAACGCTGCTACCGTCAAGGAAAAATTCCCCATCACAACCATTGATGAATTTTTGGACGAGCTTAGTTGTGCTACCATTTTCAGTAAGTTATACCTCTGTGTGAGATACCATCAGATTCAAGTGCACCCGCGCGATACATACAAGTCTGCTTTTTGCACACACGAGGGGCATTTTGAGTTCCTCCTAATGTCGCTCGGTCTCACCAACGCACCATCAACATTCCAAGCAATGGTGAATCGGTTGTTTTTGCAGTTTTTGTGAAAGTTTGTCATTGTTTTCTTTGACGATATTTCAGTTTACATCACTTCTCTTGCTGATCACTTACAACATCTGGAGCTAGTTTTGAATTGTTTATTCACTAACTCATTTTATGTCAAGCTCTCCAAATGCTTGTTTTGTCAAGAATCAATAGACTATTTAGGCCCTATTGTGTCATCTCAGGGAGTACATGTTGACCCTGCCAAGTTAGAGGCTATGGTCAAGTGTCATATTACTTCCTGCATCAAACATCTCCGTGGTTATTTAGGTCTCACAGGGTATTATTGTTGATTTATCGCCAATTATGCCAGCATTGCGGCACCGCTTATTGATAAGTTCCAAAATTTAGTTATTCTGTATATAAGTTTTGTGGCACTTATCGTTCTTTTGTTAATATTCTTTAAATAATTCCCCGCTTTGTGTGTAAATATGTATACTTTGCGTATTATTGATTTTTGTGTAAATAATGTACCATTTGATGGTTTTAATGTCTTTTGTAGGTATTTGTCGCATATTTGGAGCATTGAGGAATAAGGTGTCGAAGGCACAACTTCAAGTGCAAGTTTAATGAATAAAAGTGTAGTTTTGGAAGTTCTACTCATGGGAGCCCGCTTAGCACACTGAGCCTGCTAAGTGCATCCTCTGGCATGCTTTGTAGTTGCAGTGTTCTGGCAGAGATGTGATTTTTGATCCCTCTAAGCGTGATTAGCCTTCTTAGCGCGATTTTAGGCAGCTTTACATGTTGTGATACGGTGGCCAGAACCGAGACAGTTTCCTTTTTAGGAATTGCTGGTTTGCGTTTTGCGTTTTTTATTCGCAAAATGTCGCGGTAAGCATGAGTCGCCACCGACTTTTATTTTATCCAATAAGGAAAGGAAAAAAGCACAGAAAAATTCCTTTTTCGAGATATTTCTGAGTACCGGGGGGGGGGGGGGGGTAGATTATAGAAAGGGAAGGTATTAGCACCCTTTCTATCCGTAGTTATCTACGGGCTCTTAGGTACTTGCTCATCATTTTCAAAATTGTTTTCGTTGTGTTTGTTTGATTTGAAAAGCTTTTGTTTTAACTTCGATTTAACTCCTGCTTCTGTCTTCAAGAGTGTAATGAAGTGTTTTTGAAAACTTTGTTTGTAAAGGAGTGTAAGTGTGAAAAAGTTTGTTTTGATTGAGCAAGTACTTAAGAACTAATCTACCTACTCGAAAAAATAATTATTCCATGTTCGTTTCCTTTAGACAATGCTATCCCACTATTAGTGAGTAGGTAGCACCGTCGTCGGAGTTTTGAGGGTCAATTCGAAAGGGACGTACAATCACTAAAGCAATGTTAGGACGTCTTAGTAGTAACCCTAATGTCTTAGATCAATTATTCGAGGCAATAATTCCGAGGCAACCATTCCGAGGCAACTTTTCTGAATCGGGACTTTGATCTTTGTTTAGACAAAAGGACGACCACTAAAGCAACCTATACTCAATGACCGTTTATCGAAGGCAACCAAGTGGGAGTGTACCCTAGGAGTGCGCATGTGCGAATGATTCAATTTCAGATTATTTATCTTTTGCACATTTTAAGGTTATCTAATCGTTTTAAAATTAATCATACATTCTTGTCATGTATCCCTATATCATACATCTAACAGTTAATAGTTTGCGGAATTTAAAGTACAGAATTTAAACTACGCTATTACAAGGCTTCAGGTATTTACATAGTCAAAAACAAACCCTTTGAAAATAAAGCGATAAATGAAAGTAAAGACCTAAATAACTATTACACCTTGTGAGCAGTTACAATAATAGGGTAAAAGTAATAAAATGAAGCGCGCGATGAAAATTAGAACGAGGGCGAACTAGGGTTTTGACCCTTCTAACCTAATTAAAGAAAAATGGTTTTTTTGTTGTTTTTAATATTTTTTAAGAAAAGAATTAAGCTTTAAATTAAATACACAATTAATTAGTTAATTAAATTTATTAATAAAAATAATTACATGGCCTATTTTTGGTGTTTTGTTATTTTTAAGAAAAGAAAAGAAAATTAAGTTAGAGATAAAACCTAATTGTTCTAATTGATTTTAAATTTATTTACAAAATAATTAAAGTTTTACCTTAAATTAAAATCTAATTAAATTAATAAATTTATTGATAAAAAAACCTAAGTCTAATTGGGTGAAAAATATTTTTATGATTTTTTTGATAAAAAGAAAATAATTAATGGTGTTAGTAAATAAAATAAATAAATAAATTAAAATAAAATATAAAAAGAAAAAGGTGAAGAAATTGGGCCTGAAAGTAATTTGGAGGGGGTGCAAATAATCAAATCTGGGCCCAAAACCAAGTAGTCCACGTTGACTTGCATGATCATATGCTTTGTGTTGACTAGGCTTCATGATGCACCTTCAGATGATGGCCATCAGATATGGCCATCTGGAGATCCAAGGGTTAGATCTTGAGAGTCTATGGTAGTCCATTGGCTTGTGTATGCGCTGGATCCTGAAAAGGAAAATAATATGGAGAAATTGGGGGGGACCTGGGATTCGAACCCAGGCCCCAAGGTACTTTTCCACGCTCCACTTACCAACTGAGCCAGCTGCTTATGTTGTATGTAAAACAAATAACAAATATTATATTAAGAACAAATGGAATGAAAGAAATCTGCACGAAAATTCAAATGGACGAGTGGGAGGCTGCCACGTTGGTTGTCTTCTTCCTTGGACCTGTTGGTAAAAGTTCCAAACTTTTACCTACAGACATTTGGTCGTAGCTACAGCCTGCGTTCTCTTAAAATCCACCATGAGCAAGATAAATGACTTCTAATTCCATGGTTGGATTCGTATGGACCTGCTGAATATCATGATGAGCTTTTTATAGGACAATTTTTCCTGCACATAAAACTCCTAATTCGAAGCTACAAACCCTAGCCATGGTGAAATTTTATACAAGCCATATAAATGCAATTAAACACTATAGAAAGCTTGCAAATGTTCCATGGATCAAGAATATATGGTTAATTCGTGCTAACAATGTCCATATCATGAAATTCGAATTCAAAAAAGAAGCGATGTCGTGATGGACTTACAGCGAGATATGGGGCCTGAAAGTGCTTGTTCTGGATTTCTTTTGCTTGCTGGTGATCCCAGGAAGCGATTGGAATGGTCCAAGGGTCTTGAAATTGCCTCTAAGTAGGAATTCGATTCACCACTTTTTCTTGTTTTTTCAAGTTTTTGTTCTAGTTCATACGCCTCTTTCTCTAGCCTCTTTTAGTCTGCCTTCCTTCTATATGTATTGAAGAATAGATTAGGGTTGAAAACCTGGCCTCAATCTTCCTCCATCAATGTCCTTGATCTTGATTTGATTCACCTTAAAATCTTTCCAAAAATAGGCCTAATCCAATCTTTTTGTGCACACCATGTCTTTACACGAATTTGATCTCATGCTAGCTGGAATTTAAGACTTGAAACAAGCACAAGATCTTTGAATTTCAATGTTTTGGATTTTATATGATTTGTTTTGATTTAAAATGATTTAATTCAAATAAAAATCAAAATAAATAATATAAATAAGATAATGACAAGTGGCAAAGGCTAGAGCTCGTGGACTATGTTTCCAACCAAAACAAGTGAAAAAGATTGGGCCCATTTGGCAAAAATTGGAGTTTTAGGCATAGTTGATTTTTGGCAATTTTGCAAAAAAGGTCACCTTCACCAATGCATAACTTCCTCAATTTTGACTCTTTAAAGGCGTTCTTTGACTTTTTGGAAAGCTTGAGATGTTCTATAAGCAACCCCTTTTGTATCATCTCAATTTGATGTTCCATGCTCATGTATGAAGCTTTGACAAAAAAGGTGTTTTTGTTGACTTTCTAAAATGACCTATAATGTCCAAATTCATAACTTCTTTTGAGTGCATATTTTTAACTTGGGAGATGAAGATGGATTG